CCAGAACCTGATGTTGGTGGGATCTATTTATTGTCTGGTTTATGTAAGCTGTGTTATAATTAACCAGAACCTGATGTTGGTGGGAACTAGTTAATGACTTGTTTAAGGTAAACTGTGTTATAAGTAACCAGAACCTGATGCTTATGAGAACTAGTTCAGGTCTAGTTAAATGTAAGCTGTGTTATAAGTAACCAGAACCTGATGCTTATGAGAACTAGTTCGGGTCTAGTTAAATGTAAGCGACAACATAATGAACCACAAGTTGGAACTGATTCGTCGTGATCTATTAAATATAATCTACTAGTACACACAGGCTGGAGATTATTTTACGCTGACATTGGTTTTGTATCTCTTGTCCCCTAATTTTCAAACTACGTCACGAAGTTTTTTTCATACTTCATATCTAGATCTGTGATCACGTAATAAAACGTCAGGAGCCCTCTTCATGTTCATATTTTTTGATCTTATCCAAGTTGCTCCCTTGTTTTAACGTATTCGCAACTAAAGGTTTTGTGGCGGTTTGTGTTGTCCTTTCCTTTCTAGATATCAATCTCTCGAGTACTAAGGCGGTGGACCAAACGGCTCTTTCTTCCCCTGCTGAGCTTTAGAGTCCCTTTGTGCACATTTCATTCATAGATAGCCTCCCGAGGTGGTCAAGGGCGACGGCCTTTCGTTTCAACTTGTATACTTTTCGTGAAATACAATAAGCTGCTGAACTACCAGATTACAAACGATTATCTAGTTTCACAACACATTGAACTTTATGATGTAGGTACAGTCACTGAAATGTGCCATCCTTAGCATTATTTTCACAACACATTGACCGTTATGTTGTAAGTACAGTCACTGAAATATGCCTTCCTTAACATTATTTTCACAACACATTGACCATTATGATGTAGGTACGGTCACTGAAATATGCCTTCCTTAGCATTATTTTCACAATACATTGACCGTTATGTTGTAGGTACAGTCACTGAAATGTGTCTTCCTTATCAAACCAGAAAACTTTAAAATTTAACGAGAGGAATGTTGTTGTTAATCCCTCTGTTTGTCAGTTTTCAAACATGAAGTATGAGAAGAACGCTAACTTCTTACACTCTTTATATTTAGATTTCTCAATGAAAAGAAACAAACAAACAAAAAATTGAAATTCAGAAATATCCTCACGTCTTGTAAGAAAATACCCAGTTATGTATATCTCAGTACACTAAAAGGTTATTTCACTTAAAATTTAGATTAATTAATTAATTGTTTTGTCTTCAACTTCAAATTTTATATTTTTTTCGGTAGCAAAATTATAGAATGAAGACATTCGTTCCACTAAATTTTCATTCAACGTATAAGCGTTAAAGTGGTTTGTTTGTAGTTATGATAAAAGCTACACAATGGGCTATCTGTGCTCTGCCCACCACGGGTATCGAAACCCGGTTTCTAGTATTACAAGTCCGCAGACACACCGCTGTGCCACTGGGGGGCAAAAGTGGTTAAGATGGTAAATACAATGCTTCTGAGATTGGAACATTGACCTGAGTATAGAGAAAACTGATCATTAGTTTTATACTGTTTACTTGTTCCTCAACTGTATTACTAGCACAGTTAATCAATAAATCTGTCGTGTCTTTTCGTTTACAAGAAGACGATGTAATGTTATGAAATCGAGAAAAGCTACTTTTATTGAATTTAAATGTGATCTTTGTCCTGTTCGTTAAAAATATTAACCGAGGCTTTGTTGTTCTATTTTGCTAGTTTCACGTGTTTTGGTGAAGGTTGTCAGCTGTATTAACTAAGCCATAATATGCGCTTAGTGGGATAAGGCAATCTTTAGTAGTGTAGATTTTATGGTACAAATGTTCTAAGTCATGACTTGTTTTAAGTATCAGATTACTGCCATATTAAGATAGCATAGATGAAGGATGCCCGTTCAATCAATGGGTTCTTTGTGTTTAGTGGGCGATGCTGCTTTGTTGAAGAATCAGGATCATCATAGCCTTTTTAATTGGAGACTACAGGTTAAAGTCTGAGATACACAATAACTCGTCTGCTTCAAAATGTGCTATTTATTTCTAACAAGTATTGAGTAAAGTATTATAGACAGTTTTAGGAATTGTCTTAAAATGTAGTTTCATGATAGGTAGTAAAAAAAAGGCTATATATATATGAAAAGCGACATTGCGTCATCCATCTTTACTCACACAGTCAGCTTTCTTTGTATTTTGTAGAAGTTCCCACGTCCTTTCATTCAGCATCATCAAACAGCGTATAATGTGATTTATTACTGTTGTGACAGCACGTTTTATGCACGTGTAAATGCGCGTGTTTATGAAGTATTTGAATAGGTAATTTTCAAAAGATTGATATTGTAGAATATATTATTTGCTGGAATTGTGAGGGCGTATTTGGTATGCCATAACACACTTTTGCATTGAATCCCTTTTATTTTATGCCAGGCAGTACAGACAAAATGCCCATAATTAACATCAATCATACACTTAGTTAAGAATAACCAGATTAATGTTAACCCTTGTAGAGCTCTCTTTCAAAATGCGAAGTTTATATCAAGGGAAGAAGGTAATAATGGGACTAAGTTAATGACTCTTATCATTCTTTAATGGTTGTTCCTGAAACACAATTGTAATAATTTAAAGGGAATATTAAAACGCATGATTATATGATCAGGTTTCACAAGGGTACGTCATGTTACAGGAATGTTACACAACCGATTGTTAGTGAAAAACACGTCGGAAGGGTCATCAGATGGAACAGTCATTACTTACACTCTTATTACTCTTTTAAAACGTTTTTATCTTTTAGTTGTTTTTCCGAACTTGCGACCATACATTCAAGTATTTTATTTATGTTCAAATTTAGGAAGAAATTGGAAGAGCTTTTGAAGACCTCGAACTGTGTGAAGGAAGCTCTGAGAAGAAGAATTCAAAGAACAAAGTTCCTGAAAAGGAGAGTATTTGTGAAGTTTCAGACATCCCTTTTACGAAGATACTCACTCCCGAGGTTGATGGAGCCGATGGATATCGCAAATGGGGAAGAAAGCTGTCTTGTCCTTCAAGTCCTGAATATCCATATCGTAGTCCAGAACTGTCCTGTACGCTGGAAGAAAAACATAATTTTCATCCCAGTATTTGCACGAGGATACTTTCAGGTGATGATAACGATGATGTGTTTTACCCTGAAGTTGAAAAGTTTCATTTGAGTAAAAAATACAGTAGCCTAGAGCTAACCGACCTCAATGAAAGAGGGCGCTCTTCAAATAATCTTTATCAATGTGAACGTATCACAGGAAATAATAGGTTAGAACATATATCTCCAAACACACAAAGTAGATTATTAACTGTTCCTGCTAGAAAACAACAACAAATAATTCCCAGTCCACCCACCACGGACAGCGTGGAGGTATTATCCGTATGGGCAAACAACCTAGTGAAAGAAATTGACGAAACGTTTTCAAGCAGTGACCATGATTATAACAGTGCTATACTTTCTAGTCCATCGGGATTATTCGGCACTAAATACGATTCACTCAACTGTAACACGGAAAAAGAACATGGGATAAGCCTTAATTCCAATGAAAAGTGTATTACAAAACCTTGGTATTCCATATCTAAAAACAACGACGTGTGTAAATATAGCGTAAAGTACAATTTCAGAAATAAATGTTTGGGTAAACCAAGAGTGACAAGGCAGCTCTCCTATCCTGCCAGTTTGGGACGAAATGGCGTTTCACAATCATTTTTTTCATTCTCAAGGACTCGAAGGTTATCATGTCCTTCGTGTGAATCTTCCTGTAGCAAAAACACTTTTTGTATGGATAATATGTCCTCAGACTTCCACGGAGAAAAACTCAAATGTGAAACTGCTGTTCAAACCAACGATGATGACTACTTTGTACATAGAAGTACAGACGGAGAAATGGTACAGTGCAACCATTCTTCACTGAAGATGAGAGCTGAAATTGGTGTTCAAACATGTCCGGAAAGTAAAGAATCACCTAACGAATTTTCTCCCACTCCAGATAGAAATATTCGACTTGAAACAGACTCCAAGCATCTGGTAGAAAGTGTATGCGCCAAGGAAATACTTGATCGCGAAAGGCAAACAAATATAAGTTCAAAAAATAGTGAAGTCGATGGAAAGAGTACTACTATTAATAGTGAAGTCGATGGAAAGAGTACTACTATTAATAATGAAGTTGACGGAAAGAGTACTACTATTCAACCAGTTACAGAAGGTGACATTGACAATCCTTATAGGGTAAATAACCAAAAGAAGACCAACTTTCAGCTAAAAACATCCCCAGGTCCGAATGATCATGTTATTTTTTGTGATATGAAACAAACCACCACTGATTATAATAAGACTGGAGTTTCCAATAAACTCGTTGGGTCATCGCCATGGAATTTTTTCATTGCAATGGGAAGAAATGACAACAGTAATGTTTCAACAATAAAAAACTGGACGGTACAAAAAGAACAAAGATCAAAAAGTGACAGTGATATTTCTGGGAAAGTTGTTTTTGAATGGAATGTGCCTTCACATCCCAAAGAAGGAACAAAGTCCATTGCTAATAAAACTGTGATTCCTTTTCACAAAGATGGTTGTTTGTTCTGTAGGATAAATATTAAAAGTAGTTCTTGTCCTGAAATGAAAAACGCCAGGGAAATTCCAATCTACCGTTCGAAAAATCACACGAATGAATTGGAGTTGGATTTGACCAATGATGAGACAAGGTAAGTTTGGGTAAAACTTCATCCACAGACAGCTGGAAGTCTGCAGAACAAGAGTCTGCTGAAGACGAATCTCTTATATTTTCTGATGCACTTGACTCTTCTTCTGATGATGTTAACCCAGAACTGCAAACTTCAGACGTGCTTACCGAAGATGATGATGATGATCTACCATCAAGTTTCAAAAAGAACTTCTGTCAGACGTATTTGAGCAAGAAAACTACAGATTCTTTTGAGAATAAAGAAGACATCCTGAATTACGGAAACGAAAGAACGGATGAGTGGGTCACAAGAAAGAAAACAGATCTTAGTTCAAAGTGCTTAAGCATGCACAATCAGCACAGGGTTAGCGAGTCAGTGACATCGGAAGTTACTTCCCATTTTCCATCTGCTGAGATAGAAACTGCTAAGGGTGACTTTAATGAGAAAATGTGTATGTTGAAGAACAGCGGAAGATGTTTGACACTTGAATTACATCGCTGTTCAGATTTACATTCGGTGCTCGAAGGTTCAAATTCCGCCCCAACGGTAAGTAAGAGTGAAACTGTTCTGTATCGATTTAGTGTTATTAAAATAACATTTTTCTTTTTTGAACATATCTAAACTAAGTTCTGATCTTAACATCTAAAATACTTATCTGTAAAAACCACGTTAAGTCAGAAATGACGAGAAACTTTCAGAAAGAAATTTGTTTACCTTGTTTATTTTGAAATCATGAATGATAGAAAGTTAAATAAAAATGCCTTTACAAAATGATAAAGAGGCCAGTATTTTTAGCAGTTTTGATAAGTAAATGTGTAAGCAGTAAACATAAACAAATCCATACCAGAATTTCATGCTCTTATATAAAACTTAGCTTGCTGACTAAGTCAGTAAAATTCTATCAAAATTTTCTTTTAATACACGTTTCTCCAAAAGAGTCAACTAGCTGGAAGAAACAATGTTTTACGAGATTTGATTGTAATCTGATCATCTAATCTTGAATTTATCCAATTTAATGAATACTTTTTCTAAGTCTGAATAAGTCACTCATTTTCCAGCCCCGCTTCACTTGTATATAATTCAATCATTTTTATCACATCACACGTACAAGTTTTTTATGTTGCTTTTTGATTTCACTTTCTCGTTTTAATTCCCATGGTGCTTCACGAATTGACATTTTTAAGAAGGAGGATAGTCAAATAAAGTCACGATATCATTGTTTGCCTGTTATTCATGCTGTTATATATATTTATATAATATTTTTTATAAAACCGACAAGGTATGATATATTGTTTGAGAAACAACATTTTGGAAATATGAATTTCTTATTGGTTGAGAATCATAAAATTTTGGAAGTGTGAATTACTTTTTCTTAAGAAGCAAGAAATTTTGGTAAATGGGATTTTCTTATTGGATGGAAAACAACATTTTGTGAATATGATTAATTAACTATTTTGAGAAACGACAACACGTTAAAAGCATGCTACTATATATATATAATTATTTTTTTCAACGTAAGTTCTATAAAAGTAAAACAATCACAAAGCTAGCTTTAATTTCCGTCTGTTAAATTTGCTGACTTGTTTGAGAAGTACGATCGTTGTAAGCAGGAAATTCTGTCACCACAAACGCTAAACTCGTTAGTCAACAATGAAAGTATAATTTTGATTTAATTAATTTCGCCATCACAGGGATATGTGTAAATAGATCCTACCTACTCGGAATAAAGGTTTCACAAAAGACAATCTTTAGATTTTTAAAAGGATACGTGTAAGTAGATCCTACCTACTTGGATGAAAGGTTTTACCAAGGACAATCTCTAGATTTTTAAGAGGATACGTGTAAGTAGATCCTACCTACTCGGATGAAAGGTTTTTACAAAGGATAATCTCTAGATTTTTAAGAGGATACGTGTAAGTAGATCCTACCTACTCGGATGAAAGGTTTTTACAAAGGATCATTCAATCAAAATAAACCCAATCCTGCAACATTTAACTGATAAAGTTTCAAATTGTTTTACTGAAGAAACATAAGTGACTTTATTTCCGTTCGATTCTTAAATATCTAGAGATTATCCTTTGTAAAACCTTTCATCCAAGTAGGTAGGATCTACTTACACGTATCATCTTAAAAATCTAGAGATTATATTGTTGGTTAGTGGGTGTGGTTTTGGAGCTCCTTGTATATTGCTACCGAGGTTCTCTAGAAAACAATCCTCTGAAATCAAACTTGTATAAATAAGATTAAGTATATGCTATTGACGATAGTTATATTTACATATTGGTAAATATGGTAGACTCTATCAGTATGGTTAGAGATTCTTCGTGTTTTTGTAATGAAGTACAATTTCTATTTATTAGAGATTCTTCGTGTTTTTGTGATAAAGTACAATCTCTATGCCTAGAGATTCTTCGTGTTTTTGTAATGAAATACAGTCTCTGTTTATTAGAGATTCTTCGTGTTTTTGTGATAAAGTACAATCTCTATGCCTAGAGATTCTTCGTGTTTTTGTAATGAAGTACAATCTCTTTGTTTGTGAAAGTTCTTTTTATTGATATATTTTTTGCTTCGGATGAGCAGAGTAGACAGGTTTTGGAAGATTTCGAGAGTAAAATGGACAGATGTCTACATCAAACTCCGCCTGATTATCCGTCAAGGGACAATTCTAACGGAACTGTTGCTCTAGTTGCAAAGAAACCCTCATCGGGACAAGAGTCTTCATCTCTTGAAGCGATTACAGAGAAAATACCATGTTCATCTCGAAGGTTAGAGGCAACGTCTTCGAATTTCATTAATTAAAGTCGATACATTCAAAGCCTTACATAGTGTTAAGAAAACGAACCAAAAATCAAACCTCGTGTTAATATTTAACGATAATACTTATTTTAAGACATCAATCCAAAGGACAGCTTATCGGACCATGAGCGTTAGTATAAAACTAGGAAACACTTTTTTGTCAATTGAACTATTTTATTATTGTAAAACTATGTTTAAAAAACATGAGAATTGATAAATATAACGTAATAAGTTATACTTATATTTAAATATATATATAACATTTCTGTTGTTACGTTTGTTTATTTTACAAAAAAAACACATTGCTCTATTTGCTGTCTCTACCGCGTGGAATCGAACCCCTGATTTTAGCGTTGTAAGTCCGTAAACTTACCTCTGACTCAACTTGGGCCCGGCATGGCCAGGGGCCTTAGGGAGCTTGACTCGCAATATGAGGGTCGCAGATTCGAATCTCCGTCCCACCAAATATGCTCGTCCTTTCAGCCGTGGGGGCGTTATAATATGACGGTAAATCCCACTATTCGTTGGTAAAAGAGTAGCCCAAGAGTTGGGGGTGGTTGATGATGACTAGCTGCCTTCCCTCTAGTCTTACACTGCTAAATTAGGGACAGCTGGTGCAGATAGCCCCAGTGTAGCTTTGCAAACCAAACCAAACTTGACTCGCGATAGGACACTGTTGTTGATAATTTTTTAAACCTTTGTTTGTCACCATTCTGTGATAAATTGCATTGCTTATACGTTAATAGTAATTAATTACATGATGTACCCCGGTGGAACAGCGGAAAGTTTATGGACTCACAGCGCTAAAATCCTGGGTTCGATTCCCCGTGGTGGACAGAGCAGATAGCCCAATGCGGCTTTGCTGTAAAGTAACCAACCAATGATAGTCTAGGTTAAAAGTTTTGCATCAAATTTATTGCTTATGCTTTTAAGTTGGTCGCCTAATTAGGGAAGTATTTCTATATATATATATAATCAGTTCATTAAAGCCTCTTCTAATTCCACCTGCAGGTGGGTGAATGAGTGCGATTCTATTGAGCGTGGGACTCTATCCCAAATATTAGCAAGTTCAAACTACTCAAAAGAAAGTCTGCCTTCAGTTTCCTCCTCCAGTACTTCAGAGGTCCTGGACAATATTTCAAGTTCTTCGCCAACGAAAAGCACTGATGGTCGCTCTAATGATGAATCAGAAATGAAGTCAGACTTGTTGGGGTTTGAAGAAGAAGGAAGTAGTAGCAGTTTGTCTCTTTCGGAATGCTCCTCCCATTCAGACCATGGAAGCTATAGCCAGTCACGTCCTACTGTGGAAGAGAAGTTTTCCTTTGATAAATTGTCTGTTGCCGAACATTCATTTAGTGTGTCAGTTGGCCAGCAGGATAGAATTGGTGCGCATTATTCAACCCAAAAAGAAGACAGAGAAATAACAAACAACGTTGAACAGCACAAGTCGGCTGAAACTGCTGAAATAACTTCCCGTGAGGAATGTCAGCTCAATGTAGTACCAAATGTGAATGACGTCACTGACGAAAATATGTTCGACGCTTCTTCTATTTCAAACTTGCCCGAAAGGAATAGAAACTTGAAAATGCGGGAATCTATAGAGGACAACCAACCTACTGCTAGTATCCAAACTTTACCAATACCTGTTCGGCAAACTGAAGACAGTGGTAAAACGACAGGACGAGCTTGTGTGAAACGGAAAGTTTGTAAAGGGAACAGTGAATACACGACACCATCTTCGCCTCGTGCTAAACAGTTTCTTCGTGAAATGAATTTTAAATCGTCTTCAGCTCCATTATTACGATTGCAGACCAATTCTTTGACACAAGCTAACCCAAGGAAGTCACCAAGTGCTCCTGCTTCTCCTGATGACGTCAGGTGCCTTCAGGATACAACACTCGAAGAAAACAAGGTCAGATTTTTATTGTTTGAATCTACAACATACAGTCATAGATTTTATTCCTATGTCAGAAAAAATGAAAATTGTTTACTAACTAGCTTCAAAGAAATTAAAAAGTTGTCAATAATATTAGTTTTTCCTGCTATAATAAAAACAAAAATAAACGCTAAAATTTTTATCTTGGTACGTCGTAATACGGAACAAATACTCTAAGTGACATTACAGCTAGATTTATTGGAAGAGAAGAAAAAAAGAACTACACAGTGTTTCATTAAGTTTGTGTTTGTTCACTTTTGAAACTGTATACTGAAACTAGAGAGTAGGTAGCTACAAGTGAGAGACCAAAAATAGTGTTAGGGTAAGTGTCAGAAACACCTACTTATTCATTATATTCCAGTCTTATGATAATTGTATAAGTGGTATATCAAGTTCTATTTTAAGCTGTGACAGGCATGCGACGAGAGGTGTGGGGCTGGGTGGATCCCGTACATCTTGGACCTTGTTATTATTCCTTTTTAACAATACTCATTGTTAACAACAAGCGCAAAAGTTTTCACTTAAACCAAGTACGCTAATTGTTGTACTGAATATAGTTTCAGACTTATCCAGTTATGTAGAAAAGAATGAATGTTTATATGTACACTGGATTATATATATTATGTACACTGGATTATATTATCAAAATCTTAGAAACGGTTTTCCTATTAACACATATATATAAATAATGTCAGTTAGAAAGCAAACAAAGGAAGTGTAAAATACATGAACCGATAAAAGTTAAACAAGATTTTGTTACGTTAATCTGCATACGTGAAACAACATATTCTACGAAAAGTCTCTGAAATTCATAAAGGTGTATTGAACTTATTTGGTAGCGGAATTATAACAAAATATTATTGATACATTATTTCTGCTACAATTTTGATAAATATCGTTTTTCATCTGTGTATTTCCTTTGTTGCATGATTGTTTAGAAGTGTACCATTGTGCTTAAACTTTTTGCCAGTTTGTAAAAATAAAATTCTCAGTAAGTTTTGAAAAGTTCAGGATATTCACAGGTAAAAATGTTTTGTCTATGTATTTCCTTTGTTGCATGATTGTTTAGAAGTGTACCATTGTGCTTAAACTTTTTGCTAGTTTGTAAAAATAACATTCTCAGTAAGTTTTGAAAAGTTCAGGATATTCACAGGTAAAAATGTTTTGTCTATGTATTTCCTTTGTTGCATGATTGTTTAGAAGTGTCCCATTGTGCTTAAACTTTTTGCTAGTTTGTAAAAATAAATTTCTCAGTAAGTTCTGAAAAGTCCAGGATATTCATAGGTAAAAACGTTTTGAAGATCGTAACTACTTTTATATCTCCTATAATTATGTATTTAGAAATATATAAAGATATGCTCTCACGGGCCGTTTTATCCTGACTTTTACTGGAGCTACTCCACCGACTGGTGCAGCAGCAACAAATATGGTTTAAACGAATAACCAGAAGTAGAACAACTACATTATGTTGCAGGGCTTGAACACTGCTTAGCTGAAAGTTGTCTTTATATAAATTACTTATTGTTCACTCACTGTCTAGTGATATTCCGTACTCAGATGGAAATCGTTAACAAGCTTATCCTAAATTAGTTGTTGATCTACTGCTAGTGGCGGCATCTAGGTTTACGAATAGTCATTACATCAGCTAAATCAAATGCAAAAAAAAAATTATCTAAAACGCTGTTACCCAGAATGCACAGGGATCAAAACGTATCCCGACATTTTTTTATTTGTTTTATTTGTAATTGAGCACAAAGCTACACAATGGGCTATCTGTGTTCTGCCCACCACGGGTATCGAAACCCGGATTCTAACGTTGTAAGTCTGCAGACATGCCGCTGTGCCACTGGGGGGCCCGACATTTCAAACACTCTTAACCTCATAAATTATTAACCCGAAATCTATCCCTTGACCTGTACGTTTGATGAGTCATATTTATCAATTCACTAACTACTTTTATTGCTGAGTCAGAGTTCATTGGATTACCCTTTTTTTGGGGGTGGATATATATAAGATTCGTGTCTGTTCGCACGCTGTTATGTTGAAAGACTGAAGACAGGATAGTCCTACTTCTGTATTTTGTGTATTTCGGTATACTATGCATCACTAGGCCTAATATATCTGATAGAGTTTATTTGTTCAACTTAAGCACAAAGACGCACAATGTGCTACCTATATTCTGCCCACCACGGGTATCGAAACCCGGTTTCTAGCGTTGTAACTCCGCAGACAAACCGCTGAGCCACTGGGGGCATCTGATAAAGAAAATCACACTAGTTTTTATTTTGTTTTTACATTTCTCTTAATTAGTCCAATTACAGATTTCATTTGTTTGTTTGTTGTTAAGCACAAGAATAAACAATGGGCTGTTCGTGCATTGTTCACCACGGGTATTGAAACCGAATTTGAGCGTCATAAGTCTAGAGACTTACCACACAAGCATGCAGTATATTACGCCTATTGTTGATTTCACTGCTTCGCTACGTTTCGTGATTTGACACCTTAATATCACCTGTTCACGAATGTCTTTAGAATGGGTTAAAAACAGGTATTTCTTAGAAAATATATGACGTTACTTCTTCTGTTGTAATTAGTTCACCTTTTGTAGGACAACGTGTTTGTGTGCGCCACCTTTTGGTGATGTACAAAAACACTAACATGTACAACTAAATGCATAAATTATCAATTACCTCACCTATTGTATACAATAATGGCAGAATTCAGAGTGTTCGTAATTGTTTAGGTCATTGTCAATTGTTACATTCGAATCTGAGAGTTTCGATGGCTTAATTACGTTGACTGTATGAAATTAATCCACCTAGGAAGAACTAGTCGAAACTAAATTTACTTAAGTGACTCTTCAGGTGTTATTTTATGGCAGAATTTCCATGTGGATTTTATCCCGAACAGTAAAAAAGTCCGTGTTTTCTTGCGTACAGGTAAATGTGATCATATGGAGAAAAAAAAAATGAGCAAACGCCAGCACATATTTCATAAAAACTGAGATGAACAGTTTCTATAAAATACATGTAGGTTTCTAGTTTCTGTCAAGCTAAATATTACACATGTTTGTTGTTTTACATTAAATCCCAGAAATAAAACTTTTTACTTCGATTTGTTTTGAACCGAGGAATGACAGGTGTTAGTGATATTTTTTTTTAAATCTTATTTGAAGAATAAAAGTGTGTGATGAACACGTTTTATATTTGTCTGTAGAGTTTGACGAAATCTGTGGGAATTCTGTAGTGTTCAGGAGACCTAATAGCGAGACATTTCATCGTTTACGTTTTGAAACTAAATGTACCACTTGAAGACATTTGATTTGTTTGTTTTAAAACAAAGCCACGTTGGGCTATCTTCTGTGTCTACTGTGGGGAATCGAACCTCGGATTTTAGTGTTGTAAGTCTGTACACTAAACGTTGTCCCACTGGGGGGCATGACATTTGAAGAACATAGGCGCGTTTTCTACGTCACTTGACTAATATTTTTTAGTAATCATACTTATAGGTAGAGTATATATATATATTCACTGATTTTTGGTGATAAAGTCAGTTGTTTTATTATAGTCTAGGTAATGGATATGTGCCTGATTTAGTGACAGAATGCCACCCTTTGGAGGAAGTGTTACGCCCTTTGTAACATTGTCCTACTAATTTTACGAAAACTCCTAAACCCAGAATGCTAGATTTTACTGTACAATTATGTGTTGCTCGACGTCATTTGGCTGTGGCTGTACAGGGTGTCCCAGAATTCTGGACCCATAGGGAAAATAAATATTATATTCTTAAAGTTAAAGAAATTTCTAATGTCAGTTGTACATAATTCAGGAAAGAAAATACCCTGATGGCACAATAACACCAACGACTGATTTATGTATGACAGTAACACCAACAACTGATTTATGTATGACAGTAACACCAACAACTGATTTATGTATGACAGTAACACCAACAACTGATTTATGTATGACAGTAACACCAACAACTGATTTATGTATGACAGTAACACCAACAACTGATTTATGTATGACAGTAACACCAACAACTGATTTATGTATGACAGTAACACCAACGACTGATTTATGTATGACAGTTAATAGCATGCAATTTGAATAATAAATAGATTAAGGATAAATTGTGTATTTTTACCTATGGGTCCAGATTTCTGGAACACCCTGTACATTCGCTCCTTTATTAAGCAGGAACTTGTAGCTTTATGTTTGCAAAAAATATTTCCGTAAGGTTTAAATATAAAGCATCTTTGCTGGTGTGAAAACTACATAACGACAACGTATGTAGATCATCAGGTTCATATATATATTTATTAGTTTGATAAAACGTTTAGCTTTACATGAAAAATCTGATAAGTGAAAAAGAGACTCCGGGATCGAGATTTGAGTCCAGGTCCTCTTGCTAACGGGGCCAGTGATCTAGATAACTTTGGTATCCCTATTGGTAAAGAAGTATGGCTTATTCTTCTGGATAGCTCAGTATTAGAGCATTGGTCTTCTTAGCCAGAAGTCCTAGGTTCAAGTCCCGGCTAGATTGTTTACTGCTGGAGAAGGACTTGGTAAAACCGGTTTGATTATCGTCCACTTGCAATATTTAATGTGTGCCTTAACGAATAGAACGTACATTTTTAAATGTAACGTAGTGGCCGAATAATCTTTATTGAAATTGAGTTTCAAGTATTATAATTATAATTTTTTTTTCTTATTTTGAAATATTCATATTTGATCACTGTATTATATGAAGTACATATATTTCTTATTTTTGTTTGATCAAATTTTAATGGATTTTAAACTGCTTGCCTATTTTCCTTTATGCACACGTTCAATCTTTTTTCATGCTCCAGTGTAACACCGATTATCTATACACTCATCCTGAACAACACCGATTATCAAATCATTGCCGGTTTAATGACGGTTTTATTTGCAATATGTGCCATCTATTGAAGTTCGTAAAACTAAGTTTAT